CTCCGTACCAAAGTTGCGGAGGGCCAGCCGGTGGCATGGTGATGAAGGTGCTAGGTCCCACATCACTGCCTGTATGGTTCTAGTCCTAGACCCTGTGGCTTGAGAAACATACAGGGCATGTGTGCATTTGTGCCCAAAATCCCAAGAGGAGAATGGAGAAGAAAGAATTGTGGCATGGCCATCCCCAAGAAGGGTTGATTTCTTACTTTCTCTCTCGTGCGTGCTCTCTCTCTCTCTCTCTCTCTCTCTGTCTCTGGGAAACACATGCTCCCTATAGTAAAAAGAAAGCATAATAAAAATGCCCTCAAATATTCACAAGGGTCAGGGCATGCTGTCATTTAAATGCGCACCCCTAAAATTCATATTTGCAATTTTATTGTACTATGAAAGTATTAAGAGGAGACAATCTGATTATGATTTCAAAAGGTGGGACTTTGGGGAAATAATAAGGTGTCCGGATGAGGGCCCCATTATTGACTCCTGATAAATTATAAGAACAGAGAATGAGACCAGAACGGAAGGACATGAGAGCAGATCCTGCTCTCTCACCACACGATACTCTACACCACCTTGGGCCCCCCACCCCACCCCGACCCAAGACCCTCACCAGATGCAGCTCCTTGGTTTTAAAATAATTATGTATTTTAGTTTATTTATTCATTATTTTAAATTTTGCCCAAGAGAAGCAGAGAGAGAGAAAGAGAACGTGAGAAAGCAAGCTGTGAGGTCTAGGACTCGAACCCTGGTTGGTCATGAAGGAGTCCAGCGACATAACTGCTACACCACCTGCCGGCCCCTGAATGTTTACGTTTTAACAGATCCTGTCAAGTAGCCTTCTGAAAAGGATTATACTTTTATATTCATTCCAAGTATTGATTTTGCAAAACTTTAGCCAGATCCAGGTATTATCAGTCTTTCTTATTTTTGCCTATCTACACAGGCAAAATAAATAGATAAATAAATTAACTTTTTATTTTAATTTGTTCTTTTTTTGTTTTTGTTTGTTTGTTTTTTATAGACCACAGATTAGTTTATTTTTAACACCTATCATGCCATGAATTCAGAGGGAATAGGTTTCAGAAGCTCAGGCTCCTTTCCATTGGTTCTCACACAGTGGCTTCTCTGGGTGGAGCAGGCTGGCGCTTTATTGAACCCAGGTCCCTTTCTCTTTGGCTTCTTTTTCTGGTCATTTTCCCTCTCACGTTTTAGAAAGCTCTCTCTGCTCTTAGAATGCTTCATATGCTCAGTACGCACATTGATTCTCTTGGCAGGAATATTGCCCTTACCTTGTTCATTCACAACGATGCCAACAGCATGCTGGGTAACACTGCAGGCTCTTCCAGATTGGCCATGGTAACGTGTGGGGCATTCCTTTTTGCACAGTGCCCATTCCCTCTATGTCTACAATATCACCTTTCTCATAGATTCTCATAGTTGTTGCCAAAGGAACCACTCCATGTTTTCTAAAAGGCCTAGAGAACATACATCGGGTGCCTCTCCTCTCCCCCTTTGTGTTTGTCATTTTGGTGAATTACTGGAAGATGACAGTTCCGGCCAAAAGGCTAAACTTTTTATTTTAATTTCTCTCATGGTTAGTGAGTTTGGACATCTTTTCATTTTGGCCGTTATGAATTCTATCTATGTGAATTGCTTGCTTCTGGGCTTGGCCTATTTTTCTCTTTTTGTTTTTATTTTTTAGGTTTTGCCATAGGGCTCATGTGCTTGCTGGAGAGAGACAGAAAGGGAAAGTGAGAAATCACCCCCCAGAGTGGATGGCCACGCCACAGTCCCTTCGCCTCCATTCTCCTCTCAGGATTTTGGCCATGAACGCACACATGCTCAGTGTGAGTCTTAGGCCAACAGGTTTGGAACTTGAATCACAGTCGGCCGTGTGGGAGTCCAGCACCCTAACCATCATGCCACCTGCCAGCCCTCTGTTTTTCTCTTATTCTGTGCTGTTCTCATTGCTCTAAGGTCCTCCGTATATTATGACAGTTAAGCCTTTGTCTTAGGTTTAACAACTGACACCTTTTTTGCAGTTGTTCTTTCTTTCTTTCTTTTTCTTTCTTTTAAGAAGTTTTTGCTATAGGGCACTTGCGCTCTCCAGAGAGACAGAGAGACAGAAAGTGAGAAATCACCCCCTGGGGGGGGGGGATGGCCCAACTGCCATCACTCCTCCTCCATTCTCCTCTCGGGATCTTGGGCATGCATGCACATGCGCCCAGCATGAGTTTAAGCCACCGGGTCCAGGACCTGAACCACAGTCAACTACATGGGAGTCCAGCGACATAGCCATTACGCTAACAGCTTGTCCCTCACCAGTTGTTCTTTAAACTTTTTTTGACAGGAAGCAGAAATTTTTGATGGGCACGAGTGCAGAGGGGCAGCACAGACAGCCCTCAGAAGTTTGCAGGGCCCACCACCTGTCCACGGGGCCAGACCTGGCTGAGCCTTTGTCCAGCCACCCCATCTTCACATTCACCCATGTCCACTTCTTTAAGACGTGAATCTTCTGGTGGCCAGGGAGCGTGAACTGGGCCCTGCAGAGGACTGCTCTTGCCCTCTCTCTGTAGCCGGGTGCAGGTGGACAGGACTGACCGATGTGAACCCTGGCCACTCTCCTGGGGCTTTCCAAAGACATCGCCTGCCTGTCGGGAGCCCGGACTAGGGTCAGGACAAAGTGAGAAATGTGGACGTCCGCTGGAAAGGACTGCCTCCAAGCCCTTAGAGCACCCACACAAGCGTCAGGCTGTGTGCACCACGGAGCAGCTGCTCTGCACAGCCGGCACGCACTGGGCCCCGGTGGAAAGGAGCGTGGCTGGCTTACCTGGCCACAAGAAAAAACATGTGGTGCTGTTTTATCCTAATAGAAAATTTTCATTTCATATGGCCATTTTTATAGACTTCATCCTTAATAGTTTATGTTACACATTTTGCTTAGAACACGTCTGTATTTTAGAAAGGCAAGCAGCAGTGATGGGGACGTGTGTGGCCGACAGTGGGCGTGGCCTGAGAAACTGAAGAAAATGGGAAGCGTTCGTTATTACTGCGCAGTCAGCCATCGGGGACCCAGCCACCTCAGCGTCCACACCACCTGCCGTCCCAAGACAGTTTTTGAAAGCATACTTACAAACACTTGGCATTTAGAAGGTGAAGGAAGTAGAAGAATCAAAGATTTTCTTAAGAACTAGATATGGGGTCCAGCAGGTGGCATGGTAGTTAAGGCACTGGACACTCCCACATAGCCGACCACAGTTTAAGTCCAAGATCTCTTGGCCTGCTTTCTCACTTTCCTTCTCTCTGAGTGTCTGTCTTTCTCTGGTCAAATTAAAAAATAAATGAATGAATAAATCAAATAATTCTTTAAAAGAAACCTAGATATGTGGAACCAGCAGATGGCATAATAGTTATGTTTCTGGACTCCCACAGAGTCAACTGCAGTTCAAGTCCTGGACCTGGCGGCTTTCTTTCCCACTTCCCCCCTCTCTCTGTGTATCACTCTCTTGTCACATTAAAAATAAAAATAATAATAATAACAAATAAAGTTAAATACAAATAATTCTTAAAAAAAAAAAAAAGCATAGAAACTTCAGGGTGAAAGCCATCAATTAGAAGTTCCCTGGGAGAGTGTGAGAGTGTGAAAATCTGGTCAAAGATAAACTAGACACTTAAGTGTCATGACCACTGAGTTTGAATCCTGACCCTGGCAACCTGAAAATCCTGCCAGGCACATATACATGCACACTCCAAACCCTGCCTGGACAGAGAAAGAGAGAGAAGGGCCTGTGGTGTAACCACACCCCACTGGTGCTTCGCCCTCTCTCTGACTGCTGAGTATGTAGGTCTTCTGGAAATCGAAAGAAAGAAAGAGAGAGAGAGAGAAAGAAGGGAAGGGAAGGAAAGGGAAGGGAAGGGAAGGGAAGAAGGAAGGAAAGAAGGAAGGAAGGAAGGAAGGAAGGAAGGAAGGAAGGAAGGGAAAGAAAGAGAAAGAGAGAAAGGAAGGAAGAAATAAAAAGTCCTTGAGGAGGAAGAACCAATGAAAGAAAAGTGGAATTAGGAGTTGAAGAAGTTGGATAACACCAAGAGAATGATGTGGAAGCCAGAGAAAGTTGAGAGTAAGGGGTGGCTCATCAACAGAGTAAATTATTTCAAGAGGTTGGAAATGGATAATAGCCAAGCTAGTCAATGTTTTTGCAATTATGTCATTGATTTTTTTTAAAGAATTATTTAATTTTATTTATTCATTCATTTATTTTAATGTGACCAGAGAGAGACAGAGAGAGAGAAAGTGGGAAAGCAAGCCACCAGGTCTGGGGATTTGAACCATGGCCAGCCATATGGGAGTGTCTGGAGCCTTGACCATCACGCCACCTGCTGGTCTCACCCTCCTCCCCTCCTCCGCCATCATCGATGTTTTTGCAGCTGAAGCTTCAGTAGAGGCTGTCATCTGGAATGTGGGGAGCAGCACATAAACCTTCAAGCACACAAGCACACACTGATTTCCCCTGGAGATTATTGCTGAAGACCCTAACAACCATCTTTTAGCCCAAAGGAAGGACGGTGAAGAGGACAGAGTGCTTCGTTTTTCTTTTGATTCTAGCTCAGTGCTCCAGGACTTAGTATAGCTAAGAGAAGCTTGGAATGTTGTAGCAAGACTTTATTTTTTAAAAAAGGAAAAACATTTATCTGTGCCATATACAATTTTCAAGAAATCAGTTCTATGAAATTTTTGGTATTTACTATAGTGCTGAGTGCAAAGCTTAAGAAATAAAGGCTTAATGAATGAATGCATCACAGGATGAATGAAATGATATGAGTAGTGGGACCAGCAGTTAGCATAATGGCTATGTCACTGGACTCCCATGTGGTCGACCGCAGTTCGAGTCCCGAACCTGGTGGCTTAAACTCACGCTGGGCACATGTGTGTGCATGCCCAAGATCCCAAGAGGAGAATGGAGAAGAAATTGTGGTGTGGCCATCCCCCTGGGCGGGGGGGTTGATTTCTCGCCTTCTGTCTCTTTGTTTCTCTCTGGCAAGCACACATGCCCTGTAACAAAAACCTCTAAAAACACA